TCGTGTGCTGTTGCTGACGCTGCCAGCGCCGGCCCCACCCGGCATCTCCGCCAGCAGCTGCGCCGCCCCCTTCCCGCGTCCACAGCGGGGCAGGGTGGTCAGCCCGCGGCCACCCGCGTGGGAGCCTGGGCTGAAGGCCCCCAGCTCGGCCAGCGACGCCAGCCCTGACGGGAGGCTGCTGTCGCCCAGACGCGGCTCGCTGTGGCGTTTGCACGCCCAGGTCAGCCCCACCGCCCCCCTCCCTGCCCACCCCGGGAACTGGGAGCCCTTGACGGCTTTGCACACACCCCAGCCCGCTCCCGCTGCCGGCTCAGGCAGCCCTGCCGGGGTCACCGCCGGCCAGGATCTGGGCTGCAGAGCCCGGCCCGAATTGGCCCATGTCGGAATAGCCAGTAGACTAACCCGGCCGCGTGAGGGGCGCTGTGTGCCCGCTTTGTCAGTGCTGTGGGGTTGGAGAGCTAGCTGCCCTTCCTCTTGGGCTTGAACAGAGGAAGCCTCCCTGGGGCTGAAAGGCAAATGTGGAAGTTGGAGTGAGATGAGAATGGAGTGCTAGGCCGAGAGGCAGAGCCTGGCAGGTTAGTTCCCCCAAAAGCCAAGTGGAGGGGGGCGAGGCCAGGTGGCCGAGAGGCAGTCTTCTGGGTGGGCAGGGTCTGAGTCAGCCACCCAGAGCTGGTCCCTAAAATGTCCAGGCGCCCTATGAGGCCATTGATCATGCCTTCGTTAGCAAGCTAGTTTGCTGGCTTTATGGTCTGAGATGCCACTGTGAGAGCCCAGTGTAAGCCTTTGAGATGCGAGGCTTATGCTGGACACTCCGTTCTTTGGATGGATATCAGGAAATGCCTGCAGGGAGCGCAATATTCAGGTCAGACTTGTGCAGCCCAGATGTCACGGCCAGGCCGTGCTGTCCTTCATGGTTCCATTTGCAGAAAAATGCCCCTTGCAGGGAGGTACTTCCTGGCGTTCTATCAACAAGATGCGTTGATGAATCATAAACCATCTATTTCCGCAGTTGGGGGAATACTTACGAAGAAATACGTGCATCTGTCTGGGCCGTCTGCATTTCTTCCCTCTTGGTTGAAGTAACCCAGGTTTGCAACCACCTGTAGGTTCCAGGCCGCCAGTTTTGCAGTTCAACCTCCGAATCGGCTACGTGGTCCTCTCTGGTTTCCATCACCACCACGCCAGGGGCGCACTTGACTCAACTTACCCGCCCCGTCCCCCTTCCCCCCTGGCAACCCCCATTCCGTCATCAGAATCTAAGGGTTCGGTTTGCTTCGTCCCTTTGTGTCTTCATCTCCACACACCAGTGAGAACACCCAGTGTTTTTTTTATATATAATAGTTTATTTTTACATCATTTTGTACTTTTTTTTTATCTCAATTGTAATTCCCGTGTGTTTCCCATCACCGTTATTTTATTTTTTAATAACATATGAGTTTATTTTTCTATCATTGTGTGCCTTTTTCCGTCTCAGTTGCAATCCCCGTGGGCTTTCCATCACCACATCACCCTGTGCCATCACCACAGTCCAGTGCACTCCCCCCACCCCCTTGTGACCCCCTTCCCCACGCCACCCCCACAAAGTGTCTCTGGCCTATAGCTGTTCATTATTCTTATTGTGTTCTCCCCTGGTCCATTATACTCCTGCTACGAGTGAAACCATCTGGTATTTTTCTTTTTCTTTCTGGCTTATTTCGCTAAGCATCTTTTCCAGCTCCATGCACTTGCTGCACAAGGCATGTGTTTCTTTTTTTTGGTTGCTGAGTAATATCCCATGGTGTACATGGACCACCTCTTTTTAATCCACTCATCCACTTTTGGGCACTTGGGCTGCTTCCAGAACGCCCAGTGTTTTTTCCCATCTGACTCACTTCGCTGAGCGTCGTGCGCTCAGGGTCCACCCGTGTTGTGCCGAGACTCTCTCTGGCCCCGCGGATTCCGCTCTGTGTAGACACTGCTCCCCTGAGTGCAGACAGTCGCTTGCTTCCATAGCCCGGCCGGTGTGTAGTGGACACACGCGTGCAGAAAGCTCCCTCGTGAGCTGTATTGAAAGAGCAGGAAGTATCTGATGACCTGTGAGACCAGATAAATGGCAACCTGAGGGAATGTGGGCGGGGGCTGCAGGGAGGACAGACATGCAGGCAGCTTCAGGGACTCCGTGTCCAGGAAACAGCTCTCCCTCCATTCTCTTAGCTTCCGTCGGCCGGGGCCTGTGCATTAAAGTATACAGATTACCGGGAAAAGTGATACTTGTGTGGATACAGGAGCCCTCACAAAGTAATGCAGGGCCTCCCTGGTGGTACAAGGAGTTAGTCTCAGCGTTATGAAGCCATTGGCAGCCACCGCAGCACGAGTTCAATCCCTGGCCAGGGAGGGACCCACAGGGTACAGCAGGAGGGGAGACCCTCCTGTCTCCCCACTGTTCCCCTCAGTAGTGGGTTTCAGTCAGTCTGCCTGTGCTGCTCCCCACTTGTCTCTGGTGAGTCCTCTCACCCCCAGAATCTTTGACCTACACCCCAGTTCTTGTACGCACAGGAAAAATAAATCTTAAAGAAAGCCTCCCCACCCACCACGGTGGCACAGCGGGTCAAAGCGCAGCACTGCAGGCTGGCGGCAGCCGCTTCAATGTGAGTCCGATCCCCGCCCCAGAACTGACCCCCATGGCGGCACACCATCCTGTCTCGCCCGCTGCTCCCCTCAGCAGTGCAGTTTGTCGATCTGCCTGTTCTGCTCCCCACTCTGCC